ATCAATGTTTCTCTCTCTCTCTCTCTCTCTCTCTCTCTCTCTCTCTCTCTCTCTCTCTCTCTCTCTCTTTCTCTCCACCTCTAAAATCAATAAACAGCCGAAACCGGTTTGGCTCAGTGGATAGAGCGTCAGCCTGCAGACTGAAAGGTCCTAGGTTCGATTCCGGTCAAGAGCATGTATCTTGGTTGCGGGCACATCCCCAGTAGGGGGTGTGCAAGAGGCAACTGATCGATGATTCTCTCTCATTGATGTTTCTAACTCTCTACCCCTCTCTTTCTCTCTGTAAAAAAATCAATAAAATATATTAGAAAAAAATAAAGAAAGAATTACCAGTTTCACCACCTGACCCTCTAAAAAAATAAAATAATAAAATAAAATAAAATCAATAAACATATCTTCAGGTGAGATTTACCAAAAATCAAATACAATTATTAGCCTGTAACTCCAACGAAGAAAATAGCTGTTTATGTGCTAAATCTGCGTGAGTGTGTTTATGTCTAGAGTTTAAATATTTAATTTACCACTGAGGGAAACTGGGTACAGGATACACGTATTATTTTGTACAACTTCAAAGTAAAAGGTTTGATATTTGAAAAGAAGGAAGCAGCCCTCGTCGGTTTGGCTCAGTGGATAGAGCGTCGGCCTGCTGACTGAAGGGTCCCATGTTTGATTCCCATCAAGGCCACATTGTGGGCTCCGTCCCCAGTAGGGGGCGTGCAGGAGGCAGCCGATCAATGATTCCCCCTCGCCACTCATGTTCCTATCTCTCTCTCTCTCTTCCTTCCTCTCTGAAATCAATAGACTATGTATTTATTTTCAAAAGGAAGCAGCCATCGGCCTCTCCCTGCTTGGGCTCCCGGCCTCCTGTTACTGCTGACGTGGAAGCAGTAGCTCCATGGCACTGTCCTCCTGCTCCCAGGTTGCAGACCCACAGCTCCATGAGGTGCTGTCCTCAAAAAGCTCACAATGAGGGAGCGAGACCCACCATACACCTGACACAGCCATGTGGTGGCAGAGGACAGCCCTGCCTGGCGGGACAGGGACAGGAAGGGCTTCCAATGCAGCTTCACTGGAGCTGATCTCTGAGGGGTTAACAGGGGGGCAGTGAGGAAGGGCATCTGAGGCAGGTGTGAGTAAGTGGGGCCCACAAGATGCAGATCATTGCAATGTGTGAAGGCATGATGCGGGCTATTGCCCAGCTTGCACATAAACATTTTAAAGTGATGGACAAGCCCTAATTGCTTTGGCTCAGTGGATAGAGCGTCAGCCTGTGGACTCAAAGGTCCCCGGTTCGATTCCAGTCAAGGGCATGTACCTTGGTTGCGAGCATATCCCCAATAGGGGGTGTGCAGGAGGCAGCTGATCGGTGTTTCTCTTTCATTGATATTTCTAACTCTCCCCTCTCTATTCCTCTCTGTAAAAAATCAATAAGACATATCTAAAAAAAATAAAGTGATGGACAAAATTACCCTCTTTCCATTTCTCCTCACCCTTTGGTGCGTGCTGCTGCTCACCTCTAAGCGAGCCCAATAAAAGGGTAAAGGCACGAAGATGGTGAGACCAGGGAGCTGGCGCCTTTGTTCGGCCTGTCAACGTCATCTTTCACGTTCAGTGTAGTGAAAAGGCAGATGTTAATATTTTTCCTACTAAGAGATTGTTTCTTTTTAGAGTGCATGGTTATTTTTTCCGTCCTTGGCCTAGACCTGCTTTATATATAACAGCAGTGTAGTGGTGGGAAGATTGAGGGTTGGCGCTGAAAGGACCCTGTATTTGAATCTCAGTTCTACCACTTACTAGCTATGGTCTTGACCTTCAGTCTCCCTTAGCCTCAGTCCCTTCATCTCTATTGATGAGACAAATTATACTACACAGGTCTGTATTACAAAATACACAGGGCTGTGGTGGGGATCAATAGGGAAACATTCACCAAAGGACCTTGTATAATGCCTGGTGCATAGTAAGCACTCAATAATTGGTATTCATTCTATATAATAAAAGGGTAATATGAATATAGACCAGATGGCAGAACAACTGAACAACCAATAAAACTGTAATAGGCTAACGATATGCTAAGGCTGCTCACCCGCTCACTATGCTGTTCACTAATCACCAAGGGGCAGATAGTCAACTGGTTGACCAGTTGCTATAACATGCATTGGTCACTAGAGAGCAGGTGCTTTGACCAGTAGGTTAGCTTGCTGTTGGGGTCTGGCAAATGGGGACTGAGCTAGATGGGCCGGGCATGCCCTGGAGCCCTCCCATGATCCCTCCCCAGCCTGATGGGGTCCTTCAGCCTGGCCTGTATCTTCTCACAATCCGGGAATCCTGGGGGTATATTGGAGAGCTGGTTTCAGCCCGATCCCGCAGTCCACTCCAGAGGCAGGGCTCATGGCTGGCCAGTGCTGCTGTGGCAGCACAAGCCTCTCCCGATCAGGACTGATTGGGTGTGAGCCCACAGTAGGCACAGTGGGGCCAGAATGAGCTGGCGCAGTGGGTAGGTGCTGCAGATGGTGTTGGACTGCGGGTTTTGGCCTGATCCCTGTAGGCCACCCATAGGGGACCTACCCTTGCATGAATTCATGCACCAGGCCTCTAGTTATTGTTAATAATTATTCTAGCTTATATAAGAAATTAAAGATATATGCCTTTCACAGTGCTCTACAAATCACACCATGTTTCCAGAATTGTATCAGCCAGGATAGTCTGGGTTTTGCTGCAGTAACAAAACACTCCCCATATGAGCCAAAAAGGTTGCCTCCTGATCACGATGCAGTCTGCTCCTGCAGTCCTCCCTCCAAGACCCAGGAAATTGGAACAGCCAGTTTCTGGAACATTGCCAGCAGAGGAAAGGGGTCTTCTATCCACATTAAATGCTGCTAAACCAGCAGTCAAACATTGGTCTCATAATCCGAGACTGCTGGCTCCTAACCACTCGCCTGCTGGCTTGATCGCCCCCCGCCCCATGCCCGCCTGATCTCCCCCTAACTGCTCCCCTCTGCCAGCCTGATAGCCCTTAACAGCCTCTGCCGAGGCTCCTGCCACCAAGGCTTTTTCTGGAAGGAAGTCCAGAAGATGTCCTGTCTAATTAGCATACTGCCCTTTTATTAATATAGATAGTTAAGACTACTGGAGGAATTACGCCACACACGAATATGCAGTTGCAAATCACACAGCACTTTATTACTCACAGAGCTCCTGGTGCCAAGGGCTCAGGCTTAACGGGGTCCCCGGAGGAGAGTGGGGTCCTCTGCGGGCAACGGCAGATCCCTCTTTGGGTGGCTGGCCATCTGATTGTGTCGAGTCAGCGGGAGGCAGGTGACGGAAGTCTCATGATCAGAGGTTTGGCCGTTCTCCTGCCGGCCGGCCGGCATGGAGTGAGGCTGCGTGGAGGTGGACCAAAAGGATGGTCAATGTCTGACGCCGGGGACCATTTTGAAGCCTGTCCTGGCCCACAGCCGTCCAGGTGGCTATCAGTCACATGTGTCATCACACAAATGTTAACCGGAGTGCAGGCTGGTTATCGGCCCCAGTGTGGTGTCTATAAAGTTCACACACGTTGTTCCTCAGGGCAGCACTCAGCGATGGTCTAATCTCCATGGTGCAGATAGGGCTGGGCCGGAGCGGCCACTCCTTGTGCTCTTTATTATTTCACACAAGTATTTCACCAAAATAATTTTTCTATGAATTAATTTGTTATGAAGACAGCGAGGAAGCCAGTTGTGTTCAGCCCAAGCCATCCGTGCAGAAGCTTCCCCGGTGTCCCAGGGGAGATCCCGGGGCACCGAGGTCTCAGGGACTTGACTGGACAGGAGAGTGAAAGCCCACTGAGCGAGCAGGACAATGGAAGATTTGCTCCCTGAGTTCCTGGAGGACAGGCTCATGGAGAAGGGAAGCCAGGCACCCGGAGCCCAGAGGAGCCCACCAATCCCCACAGCAAAGGCTCAGTCCATCTTACTGAACCGAAGTCTGCAGAACACAGGTGGGGAGAAACAGGGGGCTTAGAATATCACCGTGTCCACACCACTTCCCCACTGCTGGGGAGGCTGTGTCTCAGGGCTGACTGGTAGATCTCCTTGACCTGCTGTGAATATCTGTTTTCACTTCTCTCTCTCTCTCTCTCTCTCTCTCTCTCTCTCTCTCTCTCTCTCTCTCTCTCTCTCTCTCTCTCTCTCTTTTCAAATCAACCACTGTTCTAAGAGCATTTGCAGTTTCATTATAATTTCACTGGTCTCTCAGAGCATCCTGGCCCCAATGAGCACCAGCAACTTTTCAAATGTTCCACCCACTCCACTGTCATCACAGCCCCTTCACAGCCCCTTCATCATCATCACCATCATCATCACCATCATCATCATCATCAAGAAGTCACTGCCTATAGTGCATAACATTGTAATAACTATGAAGGATGCTATATAGCTACTAGACTTAGTCAGTTATATATTTTCTAATCAGTATATTGTACACCCAAACTAATACAATATTCTATGTCTACTATAATTGAAAAATAAAAACAGAACATTTTTTATGTCTATCTAAGATGTGCTGCTGGAGACAAAGGTGAACTGGGACTGGAAAGCAGGGCAAGAGACCAGGAATGGGGAGGGGCGTGGTTCCTGCTGGGAGGGTGAACCCTGGGGAGGGCCAGTCCAGGAGCCACTGTAACTCCCATATCCCAACACCTCAAACTCTTTCCCCTTCTTCCGTTGTCAACTCTTCAGTAGTTCCGGCCTTCTTGGTGCTTATTCCTCCACTTCTCTTTCTTTTTTCATGACGCCCTGTCTTTTATAGTCAAAATACAGTTCCTCCCATCCTCCCACCCCCTTGCCCTGATCCCTGTCTTCCCTGATTTCAGGTCCAGGTTCTTTCGAACCCCTCCTTCTCTGTGTTCAACACCTTCCCATGCAGTTCCATCCATTTTATCTCAAAGGCTTTTACCCTCAAATAAGGTCAAGTCCACGCCTTTGTCTCCCACACACCCTGCTCCCTGCACCGTCAGGGAATCATGGAGTCAGGTCCTCCTGGAGACTTTCATGAATGAGGGTGAGTTGTTCCAACCTCTTCTCCAGCTCCTGGGCCTGCTGCCTCAACTCTCCTGCCGATTGAGCCTTTGCGCCCTTATGTAAGTGTATTGAATTTTCCACCAGGTCCACTACATCCACGATAAGGAATACACCTGCCGTGGCTGCACCAAAGACTCTGGCTCCTTTGCCAAAAGCTTTCATCGCCTGGAGGCCGGATTGAGCAAAGACTGTCCCTATGCGCTTAAAGCCCGAGACCTTATCTAGAATGATAGAATTGGATTCCTCTGCATTGAGGACATCAGCTTTCTTCAGAATGCCTTTCAGTTGTAAGAAGCACTTCTCTGCTAAGGAAGCAATTTTTGGTGTGATGAGACTTAGAACCTCCTTGACTACCTTCTCTGTGTTGCTGCCAGTTGACACGAGGCACTTGGCTTTGGCTTTTGCTGACCAACTCTTTTTTATTTCCATGATATTGGCAGTCACACCAGTCACAGCAGCTGCTGCCCCCAGTGCCAACCCAGCTCCTGTAATTGCCATACTAGCCCCGAATGTGAAAGGTGCCAGACACACGCCAACGATGCTCAGAACGCCAGACACAGTGCCTATGGAAGCGGCCGCCACCTGGGTGATGGTGCAGTCCTTGTGCACCTTGTCAACCTCATCAGCAAGTGCGTAGAGCTTTCTTATGCGTTCCTCAAGGTCCTGTTTGACCTGAGGAAACTCCTTCATAAACCTTTCCCTATTCTCCTTGTCTTCCATGGTCAGGAATGTTTTAAGCTGGCTCAAGTCTGCATAGAGTGCATCTGCATCATTCCTGCATTCACAAAGGACAGGGGATTAACCACGGCAAGTATATGAATGGCTAAAGCTGAGACACCCTACTGGATGACCTGGTGCAGGAAGCCCTATCCTCTATGGTGGGGACATGTGCATCTACTTAGAATGCCTCAGATCACACCACTTTGACAGCCCCCACTCTAACCAGAAGTGGTCACTGAGCCACATTGCATTCCCTCTGGTCAGCGTTACTCCATGGAGAAGAGAAGAGGGTCCCACAGGGAGGTCAGGAACCTTCTAGCTCACACACAGGGTTGGAACACATGATCATCAGGGCCCTCTTCCTTCCAGCAGAGAGGGATCAAATTAGGGAAGGAAGAAATGTGCCCCCCGCCCCTGCATAGCCCTCCACTAAGCCCCTGGCCTCCTCAGTCCTGTGTCCAGGTGCCTCCGCTGCCTCACTCTAGTCCAGCCCGGCTGCCAAGCCTTCCTGCCAGTCCTCCCACCTGGACCACCCTTGCTCTATCCAGAACCTGGACTCTGACCCTGCTCCAGGCCTCTCTGGGCATCCGGACATGATGCCTGCACTTGTTTCCTCAGCCTTGACCCTGCAGTTCATCCCTGGGCCTTCACCAGAGTCCTATCAAATGGACTTGCTATTCCATTGACGAGGGAGATGACAGAAGCCCAGAGCCCCATATCCGGGCAGAGATACAGTCAGGATTCAACCCAACATGGTGCACCTCACTGCAGCTCTCTGCCTTCCAGGCCAGCAGGACCCTGCAGAGCTTGTGCAATCCCTTTCTTAGGGAGAGCAGGCTCTCTAGCCACAATCCCCAGGGACACAAACTGTGCCAGCATTTTCTGGCTTGTCCCACAAGAAGTCCTGCGAGGTCCTCACATCCAACAAGAAGATGCTTGGGGCCTGTCTATTCCCAGCATCTTTTCTGAAGCTCATGTGAACTGCCCACCAACCATGTGTCAGTGATTAGGCTAAACAGTTTACCTGCATGATCTCATTCTCCTCACAATGGAATAGAACAGATGAATAAGACAGAGAGTGGTTAAGTAACATGGCCAAGGCCTCATAAACTTCCCTCTGCAGGTCTCATCTCTTCTCAACCTGGGGCCCTTCTCTGCCAACAAATGATAGGAAGGAAATGTTGCTCATGGTCTTTTGAGAAGGAACTTGTTTAATCCCAAGCACAGGATCCTGCCTAGAGGAGGGTGCCTGTCAGAGGAATCTGGATGCAGGGGAGATGGGGGTGACGATACAGACATTCCCTGGAGGTTACCTAAACAGCTTGGCTGCAGCCACAAATCTCTCCCAGGATCCATCACTCAGCAGGCGTTGAAGTTTCTCTTTGTTCCATGGGTCCTTTAAATACTCAATGGCATCAATGAAGTCTCTGCGCTCTAGATGGAAAGCAAAAACAATGAGGTTAGAAGGTAATGGGTAGAATGGAAATGGAATTAAGTATCTAATCTAATGAAATGCTAATATGCAAATTGACCATCACTCCATCACAAATATGGCAGCACCTATCGCATCCCAGGTCCAGGCCACAGAGGGAGAGAGGGGGTCTGGCCAGGCAGCACGCCTCCACTCAAGTGGACACAATGCAGGGCTAGGGGCATGTTCCTGGCAGCTGCTTCGAGGCTCAGAGCACACTTCCACCTCAGCGGGCACAACCTGCCCGCTGCATGTGAGCTGCAGAGGGAACACCTTTTCTGACTGCTCATTAGTTAAGCTCTCTGTATGCTGCCACTTGCACTTTTCTTGGTAAATTGAATAATGAGAACCCAAACAAGTGATCTAGGTTTTTTCCCCACACTCCTAGAAGACAAAAACTAAGGTCCGCTGCAGGTGGGGCTAAAAAATGTCATATTCTGTCCTAGCCGGTTTGTCTCACTGGATAGAGCTTTGGCCTGCTGACCACAGGATCTGGGTTTGGTTCTGATCAAGGGCATGTACCTAGTTTGTGGGCTCCTCCCTGGCCAGGGCCCAGCTCAGGGCTCATGCAGGAGGCAAAGAATTGAAGTGTCCCTCTCACATTGAGGTTTCTCTCTGTCTTTTCCTGCCTTCCAAGCTCTCTAAAAATTAATGGAAACATATCCTCAGGTGAGAATAAGAAAGAAAGAAAGAAAAAAATAAAGAAAAGAATGTCAGATCCTATGAAAGAGACATCTTGAAAATGCCTAAAGAAAGTTGTAATTTTTTTGTGGTGAAGGAACTGGAGTCCACATTGAAGAAAACACCATGGCAGATGTGGTGGCTGGCAGTGGCTGCAGCAGTGGAGGGATGGTGCTGGAACCTTCCCCTGATCAGCCTTGTCGCCTCCTGCAGAGGGAGTCAAGACTGTGGCTTAGGCCCTCTTCTCATAGGAAGCGGGCCTAAGCCATCAGTAGGACATCCCCTGAGGGCTCCCAGTCTGTGAGAGGAGGCAGGCTGGGGTGAGGGACCCACCCCTCAAGTGCACAAATTTTGTGCACTGAGTCTCTAGTAAACAAGGTTGTTAAGTGTTCATCTTCCTAAGCAGCTGTTACCTGAAGAATATTTTTTCTTTTTTAATCTGGGGAATGTTTGTTGAGTTACCTGGTATTATGGAATGAACTATCCACCCTCTAATTTATATATTGCTGGCCTGACACCCCATGTGACTGTACTTACTCATTTATTTTTAAAATATATTTTTGTTGCTTTTTAGAGAGAGAGGAAGGGAGAAGTATAGAGATAGAAACATCGATAAGAAAGCAACATCAATCAGTTTCTTCTGGCTGCATACTCCTGGAGGTTGGGCTCCAATCCAGGCACATGTACCAACTGGGAATCCAACCAGTGACCTCTTGGTTCATGAGTCAACACTCAACCACAGAGTCACAATGGCCAGGCCCCATGTGACTGTATATTATAATTAAGGTTAAATGAGGCCATAAGTGTGATACTAATGCAATAAGAATGGTATCCTTATGAGAAGATTGTGAGACACCAATTCTCTCTAGCCCCACTTATATTTCTCTCTCTCTCTCTCTCTCTCTCTCTCTCTCTCTCTCTCTCTCTCCCTCTCCCTCTCCCTCTCCGTCTCTGTCTCTCTCTCTTTAAATTAATAACTTTTATAAATCTTTTTAAAAATGTGTGACTCTCAGGGATTTGGAGACTCTGGAAATGCAGATAAGGGACTGGTGTATGCCTTGTGTGGGCATAGACAGCATGTAAATGTGTTTCCTGTCATATACACACAAGACATATTCTATTTCATAGACAAAGAAAGTGAAACTCATACAGGAAAAGAAGGCCCACGCCAAGAAGCAGAAAGCTCACAGGTGGAATCCAAGGTCAACCATCAACCATTTTCTGACATTTGTTTGAAGCCTCCTTAGGTTTCAAAAATTCATGTGATTTGTGCATTCAACCCTATAGTGCCCCTTGGGGATATTTTCAAAATTTGAAAATAATGTTTCAGGTCACACGCCATTGATGGAGTAAACCTACCAGGCAAAGAGGATGTTTCCTGCTACTCACAGATGCTTCAGAGTGGGGAGTAGAGGAGGTCCTTCAGGTGGGTGGGGCTTGGGCCCTCAGCTCTAATGCTCTGATCAATCTGTACCACCTCTCCCCCTCCAGGCTGGGCTCAGGGGCCATAGCTCCCTGGGCAACTCTGACTCCACCCTCACCCACTTCTTAAACAGGAGGTCATCTTGTTTATCCTCAGGAAACCACCAGCTCCAGTCCTCCCTCAGGGACCCCGGAGCTGCTCAGGAGCTACAGGCTTCTGAACTGTCCGATTCCCCTTATGCTGCAACAGGAACAAGTTTTATCTCCTCCTGGGGGGTGATGTGGTTGCCTAGAAAAAGCAGTGTTGATTTGGGTGGTGGAGGGGTGTTTTTTCCTTTTCCTGCTTCACCCACTGAGGGAGAAAGTAAACGTGGGCTTAGATGGAGGGAACCCAGAGCACTGCATCTGTGTATTTGTTGGCTAGGTTGTGGGTGGGTGTGGGAAATAACAAAGCAGGCCTCTGCAGGGGTATCTGAGATCATCAGAAGTTCCTGCCTGACAGTCACACCTAGCACACAGGTGTTTATAATTGGGAGCACAGGTCAGGGACCCAGCACAGCTGTGGAGGTTGCAGTGCTTTGGAAGGGGAAGTTTCCACCAGGAACTAGCAGGTTCCAGGTACAGGGGACAAGAGATTCCCACCTCCCATGGGCTGTCCTGGCCTCGTTGGAGTCATTGCATGAGTTGCAGAAGATGGGAAGCAGTGAGCAGCTTGAGGAGAGAGCTAGAAGGAGATCCCCACATACACTTCTGGTTGAGGGGAGTTCCCTTGGACCCTCTTGGGGATTTGAGGACACTCATCAATCTCCTTTGAAGTTCTTGATTCCTGTGTAGCTTAACCCGGTTTGGAGATGCCTCCCTCAATTCTAGATCATGAGCAGGAACCAGCTAGAGAGGAGGAAGCTGATTACCTGGGCAGTTTCCGTAAACTTTTGAGGCCATGGTGTCAGCAGTGGGATCTCAGAGTTTCCCCTTCGGCTCACAGGTCTGTGTTCAGCTGGAAGGAGGTGTTGCTTCACCCTTGGGGAAGAGAAAACAAATTGTGGGGTGCAAGGTGAGCCAGCTGTGCAACAGGGAGCAGCGAGGGGCTCCATTTCTGGTGTTTCTTTCAGGGAAGGCCTCAGATGCCAAGATGGACTCAATCCACTGTGTTTCCCTGTCTGCCAGGCTCTGCCAGCTGCTACTTAGGAGCAGGTACTCACCTCACTCCAGCCACTGCAAGCCAAGGGACAGCTCCCTTGTCCTGTGGGGGCACAAGGAGAAGAGCATCAGATAAGGAAACAGACAGGTGAACCAGACACGAAAGATGGGAAGGAGAGATGGGGAGGAATGCTTTGGAAATGACTTGAGGTTGGGGACATCTGGCTTACTAATCACTACGGCTGATATTGATGGTGTGTCCACCACAGGCTCCTTACCTGTTCCCTCAGCAAGTACTCGCGCACATTCCACGTGGTGGCCACCATTGTGGCTCCCATTGGAACGTGGAGGAATCCACCACAAAGTGTAGGTTTTCACCTAAACTCGGGTTAGCCCAAGTGCCACAGTAGTGCGAGAGCTAGGACTCCAACCCAAGTCTTCCTGATCCCAGTCCCGTGTTTGTGAGGACTACTCTCTACTCCCTTTTACATACAAAAATGTTTATTGATGTGTCTGTGCTGCTTGCAAATGACGCTTCTCATTGCCAAAGGATGTCTTGCGTCCTGTGCCTAGTCTCTCTGTTGATAAATTCCTGAGGCTGTGGCCTCCCAAGCCTGCATCCTTCTTGCTTCTGCAAGACCCTCATAGCCTAAGGCCCTGGTGTCCTGCAGTCCTGGCCCTAGCCTGCTTAGCCCTCCTGGTGTTGCTGGGTCCTCTCTGCTGCCCACGCCCACCGCTGGACCTTGGCTTGTTTCCAGTTCTTTATGAAAATAGTGCAGAGACAATCCTCATCTGCATTTGAGGTTGCGTCCCTTAAATATTTAATAAATGGAATGACTGGGACAGAGGGTATCACCATATAAAAATTCCTTTATGCCTAGAGCCACACTTTAATGCAAACTAATTGCCTCAATTTACAGTGGTTGGCAAACCGTGGCTCCTGAGCCACATGCTGCTCCTTGGCCCCTTGAGTGTGGCTCTTCCACAAAATACCACATGTGGGGGCACACGTACAGTGCAATTGAAACTTTGTGGCTAATGCGTAGAAGTCAGTTTTCGGCCTGGTTGAGTCTATTTTGCACAAGTGGCCTTAGCAGAAGTGGGGTGTCGGTTGGTCAGGTGACTGCATGTGGCTCGCCATCTGCGGTTTGCCAACTACTGTCATAGGATGTGAGATGCCCATCTTTTCTATCTTTCAGTTCATAGTACTTTTTAAACATACACACACACACACAACACACACACACACCTTTGTTTTTAAAATTCTTTTATTATGCTAAAAAAAAAGGCACAACATAAAATTTACCACTCTAACCATTTGTAAGGGTTCAGTTCAATATGTAAACTTGTTTTTGCACTGGTTTGCAACCAATCTCCAAAACACTCTTCAATTTATAAAACAGAAAATTTCTACCCACTAAACAATAACTCGCCATCCCCTCCTCCCAGCCCCTGGAAACTGCCATTCTACCTCCCATCTCTATGGATTTGAGCGTTTCATATAAGTGGAATCACACAATGCTTCTCTTCCTGAGACGGCTTTATTTCACTTAGCACAGTGTCCTCAAGATTCATGCATGTTGGAACAGGGGCCGGAATGCCCTTCCTGGTTTTTTTTTTTTTTTTTTTTAAATATATATTTTCTTGATTTTTTACAGAGAGCAAGAGAGGGATAGAGAATTAGAAATATTGATGAGAGAGAATCATCTATCAACTGCCTCTTGCACACCTCCCACTGGGGATGCACCCGCAACCAAGGTAGATGTCCTTGACCAGAATCGAACCTGGGACATTTCAGTCTGCAGACTGATGCTCTATCTACTGAGCCAAACTGGTTTTGGCTACCCTTCCTTTTTAAGGCTATAATTTTTTTTTTTTATAAAGGGTTTTTGGAAAAATTTATTTGAGCCAAATTGCACTAGATCAAAAATACTCTGGAGAATAACAGTTTCTCAGCTTCTTCTATGCATTTGAAATAAAAAAGATATAAGGAAGGTTATATGAAGTTGGGAGGAAGCAGTGAGGATCTGATTATAGGACAGTCAACAAGAGTGTGGTCTCTTTTTATTTTATTTTTTGTTTTTTCCCTCAGGTCTTTTTTTTTTTTTTTAAATAAATCTTTATTGTTCAGATTATTACAAATGTGATCCTCTTCCCCCCCTCAATTGCTCCCCTCCACCAGGTTCCCACACCACCCTCTGTTTTTTCCCCATCTCCCATTGTCCTCATCCATAGGTGCAGAGTTTTTGTTCAGTCTCTTCCCGCACCCCCAATCTCCTTTTCCTAGAGAATCATCAGTCCACTTTCCTTCCATACCTCTGATTCTATTATATTCACCAGTTAATATTGTTCATCAGATTTTTTAATTCCCTTGGTTTTAAGATTCACTTGTTGATAGTCACGTATTTGTTGATCAGAATTTTTATCTTTATCTACTTCCTCTTCCTAAAGAACCCCCTTCAGCAATTCATATAATTCTGGTTTGGTGGTGATGAACTCTTTTAGATTTTTTTTATTTGTGAAGCTCTTTATCTGTCCTTTGATTCTGAGTGATAGCTTTGCTGGGTAGATTATTTTTGGCTGTAGGTTCTTGCTATTCATCACCTTGAATATTTCTTGCCATTCCCATCTGGCCTGCATGGTTTCTGTTGAGAAATCAGCTGACAATCATATGGGTGCTCCTTTATAGGTAACTACCTGTTTTTCTCTTGCTGCTTTTAATATTCTCTCTTTGACTTTTGCTCTTGGAATTTTAATTATGATGTGTCTTGGGGTGGTTCTCCTTGGATTCCTTTTGTTTAGGGTTCTGTGCGCTTCCTGGACTTGTAAGTCTATTTCTTTCCCCAGGTGGGGGAAGTTTTCTGTCACTATTTCTCCCAGTATTCTTTCGGTATCTTGCTTTCTCTCTTCTTCTGCAATTCCCATAATTCTGATGTTGGTTCACTTGAAATTGTCCCAGAGGTTTCTTACACTATCTTCAACTTTCTGGATTCTCTTATCTTCTCTCTTCTGCAGAGGAGTGTCCTCTGGCTCTTTATGTTCTAAATCTTTGTCTTGATTCTTGTGATCTTCCAGTCTGTTTTTAGGACTTTGTATAATATTTTTTATTTCAGACAATGTTTTCTTCATTTCTAGTTGATTCCTTATTGTTTCTAGTTGCTCCCTTTTTATATCCTCATAGGTATCATTTATTTTATCGGCCTTTTTTAGGATATTGTTGAATAACCTTATAACTGTAGTTTTGAACTCAATGTCCAATCTTTTCTTTTCCTCCATCTCCTTCCTTTGTCTCCCTCTTGTCTGCATTTTAGTTGTTTCCCTGATTTGATGAAAGAGCTTTGTGTGCTAGGTGTTCTGGTAGAGCCCAGTAGCACAGCCTTCCAAGTTACCTGCGGTGGACAATCTTGGTGTAGCCCTTTGTGGGCTGTGTGTGCAGTCTTGTTGTTAAGCTTTGCTTATTGTTGGTATCACTGGGAAGCATTGATCTCCAAGCTAATTGGCTGTGAGGATCAGCAGTGTCTCAGCTAGGAGGGCTTCTGTACTCCACTTGGATAGGGCAGGGTCTCGGGGTGGTGCAGACAATCTTTGGTTCTCTGTCAGTCTCGCCTTAGAAAAGTCCTGTTTGTGGAGAGTTTCGGAAGATTGGTTGCAGGCACGTGCACCTCTTTGGTAAAGGCGCAGACAAGCTTTGGATTCTGGCCGGTCCCTCCTTAGAGAAAACCAGCCTCTGGGAGAGCTTCTGTGCTCAGCCACAGATGGGGCGGAGTCTCGGGTTGGTGCAGACAAGCTTTGTTTTTCCTTTGGCTCCTCCCCAAGTCCCGCAGTAATGGCCTCTGGCTTCACACACCTTCGAGAGATCTCTGCCTAGTGCCTGACAGTCTGGCCTCTCCCTGTCTGGGGCCATCTATCAGAGCAATAGGGTGATTCTGTTTTCCTCTCGAACAAGAAAGCCAGCCGCACGTTAGCTGTCCGCCCTCTCCACCAGTAGTGAACTCAGCCTGGCCTGCCCTCTCTGCACCAGGAGTAAGCCAGCAGCAATTGCAGTCCAGCCCTTCCTCTCCGTGTGCCGGGAGTAAGCCAGTGCCTTTTCGCGCACACAGTTCTCCGTACCTTCACAGTTCCTGAGTTTCAGCGTGCCTTCTCTCTCCTTCCCAGATGGCAGAGCCTCTTCTCAGCTAGCCATCCGGTGCTTCAGGGCAATGCCTCCCCTGTTTTCCAGTTCTAAATTCAAATTTGTTGTGGTAGGCTGCATTCCGGTGTCTACCCTATGCCGCCATCTTGGTTTCTCTCCAAGAGTGTGGTCTCTTTTTAAAAAACAAAACAAAAATGTTTTTATTGACTTATAGAGAGGAAGGGAATGGAAGAGAGAGATAGAAATGTTGATGAGAGAGAAGCATCCAGTTGCTGCCCCTACATGCACTCTGCTGGGTTTTGAGCCCACAATCCAAGCATGTGCCTTGAATTGGAATCGTACTGGTGACCTTTTCATTCATGGGCCAACACTCAACTATGGAGCCACAATGGCAGGCAAGATTGTGCTGTCTGGAGAGTGGTTATTTCTAAGGTGTGTTCACCTAGGTGCACAGATACAATGGACAGGGCTTGCCTAAGGAAAACAAACCTTTCACTAAAGATTATAAGCCTGGGATGTGTCCATCTGCCATGACCTGCCCAGCTAGGAATTATGATCACATCACCCTGTGGGTTACTTGACATAGAACCCATTTCTCATCCACGGTCCCCCTTTTGATCACAAGTTATTTTGAAGGATGTGTGAATGACCAACCTTTTGTTTGAAAGCA